CCTAAGAGAATTCTTATACAAATCTTGTTTTGTCTATATGGACGACGTCATCATATTTTCCAAATCCCTCCAGGAACATTTAATTCATACTAAACAGATTTTCCAAAAATTCCGAGAAGTTAACCTCAAGATTCAGCCCGATAAATCCGAATTCTTGAGTAAGTCAGTAGCGTTTCTAGGCCACGTCATAACACCTGAAGGCATAAAACCAAATCCTTCAAAAATTTCAGCCATTGAAAACTTTCCTATACCCAAGACGGTGAAAGAAATCAAAAGCTTTCTTGGTCTGGTAGGATACTACCGACGTTTCATTCCGAACTTTTCCAAAATCACATACCCCATGACACGCTGCACTAGAAAAGGTACTAAAATCGATATCGAAGATCCCAGATATATTGAATCTTTCGAGAAATGTAAATCCGCTCTCAGTAACTCCCCTATTCTCCAATACCCTGATTTTTCCCTACCATTTACCCTCACTACAGACGCTTCAAACATAGCGATCGGTTCTGTCCTTACACAGAAAGGAAATCCGATAGCCTATTATTCTCGCACCCTAAATTCAGCAGAGAAAAATTATTCTACAATCGAAAAAGAACTTCTTGCCATACTCGATTCCTGCAAAGTATTCCGCCCCTATGTATATGGTGTAAAATTTACTGTGGAAACAGATCACAACCCCTTAGTCTGGTTATACAAAATTAAGGAACCCAATTCTCGTCTTGTCCGATGGAAACTCAAACCTGAGGAGTACAATTTCGAAATTAAATACAAGAAAGGAAAGGAAAACGTCGTCGCCGATGCTTTAAGTCGCATCGAAATAAATATGCACGAATCCGAGTCTCTGTGTGCCAACCCTCCAGATGATGATGACGACTTTGATGTAGATGACTTCGTTAACCAATCTTTCGAAAAAGAAACTGGTCAATCAACCCAACATTCTTCTCATGAAAATCCCGTTGCTCTCGTCCCATTCTCAGAAGAACCTATTAATCATTTTTCAAATCAGATCATAATAAATCTAGGCACCGATTTTAACACCAAATACCGTCTGAAGTTCAAGTCCAAACACGAATATCTCATCACTCTTTCCGAAAAAGACTGGAAAACCGACATCAAGACTGCTCTCCATCAAACTATAGCCCCCAATCAACGATACTACATTCTGACTGACAATCCCGATATCCAAAAATATATTTCCGACTTCGTCCGTAATACTTATAACCAAAACATCCAAATATTCTTCTGCACCAAACGAGTTCAAGATGTAGAGAGACCCGAAGACCAATTACGACATCTCCAAAATTACCATAAGGAAAATCACAATGGTATTCTCGAAACACTTAGTCATTTAAAATTACACTATTACTGGCCTAATATGCGTTCTACAATTTCAGAGCATATTAACCACTGCGATATTTGTCTTCGTAATAAATACGAGAGACACCCATATAAATTACCCCTAAAAGGTCCACTTCTAGGACAAAAGCCTTTCGACATCCTTCATATTGACACATTTTCCTGTAATCGAGAAACTTTCCTCACAATCATCGACTCTTTTTCCAAGTATGCCCAAGTGTACAGTATACCTGACAAAATGAATACCACAATCCTTAGCAAATTACGTCACTATTTCTCCCACCATAATTATCCTCGAAAAATAGTCTGCGACGAAGGTACCGAATTTTCAAATAACCTCTTCAAAGAATTTTTAAATCTTCACAAAATCGAGCTACACTTTACGACAGTGAACAACCCGAATTCCAATAGTCCTATCGAAAGATTTCACTCTACTTTTACAGAAAAGCTCCGTGTTATGCACGACGAACGCCCCAAAGAATATTTTACTGATCTCGTTACACATTGTGTTTTAATTTACAATCAGTCCATCCATTCCGCCACAGGTTATTCACCTTTTTCTATCTTATATGGCCCATATGCAGAAGAAATACTTTTTGACAATGACTTACCTATCTACGAAAAATATAACCAACGACATAAAGACGAACTTCGACCTTTCATTGACTCTCTTTATCGAAAACTCCACGATAAAGAAACAGCAATTTTAAATAAACGCAATGAAAGACTACCCGAGATCACTCCTGCTCCAGCACCTGGCCAAACCATATAAATTCAGAAAAATCCCCGAAATAAATTATCTGCACCTTACGTATCAGCCGAAACTACTTCTAGTAGCAATACCAAAATTCAGGCCGTTACTTCCAAAAATAGACCCACCAATACCCATCCTAGAAAAATCAAACGTCTAAGGAAAATACCCTTGTTACAGGATCGTCATCCTGACGAACCACAACCTGGCCCTTCAAGTGCACCTGATCCCGAATAATGGATACTATCGTGAACTGATAGGCCATGCTCAAGAGTTAAATCACTATCACCGACATATTATTACTGTTAACCTAACTGCTATCGACGCAACGCTTAAAATGACTCTAACTAACTTCCTATTCCTTAACAAGACTCTCACTACTTCCAACTACCGAATATTTGAACAATATAACCATCTCTATTCCGAGACACTTGACAATTTTCATAAAATAATCCGACCCCGTCAAAGGCGAGGAATTGCTAACTTTTTGGGAACTTTTATTAAATCAGTGACTGGCAACCTTGACGAAAACGATCGTATATTTTTGGAAAGGCACATCTTCAGTATCGAAAATAAACAAAATCGTATAATCAATGTGCTTAATAATTCGACAAGTTATGCATCAGAAACAATAAAAAGATATAATATTCTGATTGAAACCATAAATAATAATACAGTGAGAATCACACAAGATATTAATTTTCTTAGAGATGAATTCCAGCAGTTTATTACTCTTCAAAGCGAAATTCGTAATATTGATCGTTTGAATCAATTCATTTTAAAGCTTATTAGAAGTATAAACCTATCTGCACTAGAACAACCGAACATAGAATTATTTTCACTTTCCGAAATCACTGACTTAGAAGAAAAGCTAAAATCTTTATATAAATCAAATTCTCTTTTATCAGATAATTCACATCCCTTTGAACTTATCGAAAATTCACGTTGTTCATTAATTACCACAAATACTCAGTTACTCATCCTTTTCAAAATCCTGATCCTTAATGATCACTCTTTCCGACTTTACCATATTTATCCCATACATAATGAAGAAAACATTGTACTACTGCCTCCTGCAACTTTCTATGGAGATAATCGCTGGTATTCTACATGCACCGATGTAGGACCAAAAATCGTATGTCAACTCGCTTCCACCACAAGATGTCAGCTTCCCAGCTTAGAAAATTGTACCACTGCCAAGCTTTCCCAGCCTGTCATCCACCAAACAAAGAAAAACCTGATCGTCAGTACAAATGAGCCAATCCAAATCGTTGAAAGATGTTCCCAGACTCACCGAAATATTAGTCAAGCAGCAATTGTTTATTCTTCATGCCCAATCGAAATTAATGGACAGATTTACAGCACTACTTCAGAGCAAATCGAAGTTCCTGATATCATCCCTATAAAGATCCGCCCAAAGTTTAACTTACAGATCAACGAGTTGCAGCCACTCAAAGATGTACCACAGCTATCGGCCATACAGCCCTTACATCTAAGCCCTACAGTGACGTCTACAACAACTTGGTCCATGGCAACCCTAATGCTCATCATCGTCACAGCGAGCATTTACTTCGTCTTAAGAAAAAGAAGAAGACTCCAGACGCTTTTCTTCAAGCCGAAATTTTCCATTGCCGACTTGGAAAACCTAAAACTTCAAAAGTCCGAGGACGGACTTTCAGCTTAGCGAGGGAGGCGTTATAGGTCAAGAACCCGAGGCGTCAGCAAGACGACACCGCCAGTCGCAACGACAGCAGAAACCTTTATTAAAACTATTTTCCTTTTATATTTTTAATTCATTATCATTCCAACTTGTAACACGTTCATGTCTACAAAATAAATATTTTTTAAAAACTCCTTGTTGTGGCTGAGAAACATAATTCGCGTTCATGTTACCTCTGATGAAGATTAAAGGTGACCTGGAACCATAAGCTATAGCACCCCAAACCATAACTCCAACAGTGTGATGAACATGTCTTTCAACAAAAAACTGTAGATTCCTCCTTTCACCACGTCGCCTTCTAACCCTGGCACGACCATCGTGCATGCCTAAACAAAATCGAGATTCGTCACTAAAGAAAATACTGTTCCATTCCTGATCCCAGAGTGACCGTGCTCTGCACCACTCAAGGCGATTACGTCGGTGTTCTCGAGTTAAAGGGAGGACCCAGTGTGGCCGGTATGAAAACAAGCCAAAACTTCTCATTCGTCGGCAAACACTTCGCATGCCAATAGGTCTTCCGTGTTCTGCGAATTATTCATTTGCAATGGACCTGGTAGTGGCCAATAATCTTAGGCGGCGATCTTCACGGTCTGTTGTTCTACGGCGGCGTCCAGTGCCCCTTGCTCTTTGCGTACGGCCTTCTCGAAGCCATGCCTGACAACACCTAACCACAGTGTCTACACTTCTTTGCACTCTAACTGCAATTGCCCGAAAAGAAAGTCCAGCTTTCCGAAGTCCCACTATACGGCCCCTATCAAACTCACTAAGTTGACGAAATCGTACAGGTCTCCGTACTCTAGGCATCGTAACCGATCGTAAAGGATGTCAAGAACCAAAATCCGCCAACGTTGATTCTTTACTGCGGCTGAAATATTCATTTTTAGAGCGTTAGTGAATTAAAAAAAAGCAGTATAAAAACCGGAATGTCCAACTGATAAGGCTGAACATTTTTTCACTTGTTATTTACAGTAAGATAAATACATTCACCAACTTTTATTAAAATAAAACCATTTAAACTGGGTGTTCGGATTTATATGTCACTTAGTATATTAGAAGATGGTGCTATAAAGATACAAAGTTACACCACTGTCTCAAATTAGCCGCATGTCTTAAATTTCGTTCCTTTCCTCTATACATATTACCATAACCACGACTCGTAACTCTACTTACCGACAAATGTATTTTCATCCCTTTTCTCATATTCTTCCCATATACTGTGCATCCGTTTTGCTATCATTCTCACGATCCTTAGCCTCATGTGCGTATTGGTCATTGGTAACTGATTGGTTGAGACTTCTGTAGTATAATTTGCATGTATCATTTGGAAGACTACCGCCACTACTCCCACAAGTAGATAGATCTTCATATCTCGTTATAGGGAGTCATTCTGAAAATGACATTGACATGTAAGTTCATGATGATCAGTCTAACTTTTGGCTTTAGTAAAAAAATTTTATGGAGCTTGAATATTTCCAAAAGTTGAAAGTTTGTTGCTTAAAGTACAGTATACAAGTTTTTGAGGTTGTTCATAAAATATATACCTAGACACACTTCCACTTTCAATATACTGAGAAAAAAAAAACAATAAAAAATTTCAATTAGGCTAATTTGACACACCCCGTATGCATAGATATAAGCTGAAATGGACATATGTTTGTTTTCCGTCTTACAAAGGCGGGACGACCGTAACGGTGGTGCGACATCTATCTGTGCGTAGCATAGAACGTAGCGGTATTTTTTTTAATTCTGAAGCAGCCGCGCAGGCAGAAGCTAAGGATCCCCAAACCGACGCGAATATTTCGCAGCAACTGCGATTGATTCGCGACGAGATTGTTGCCCAGGGACTCTTCTCGTAGAAGCAAATGAACAAGAACAGACCTGTGCGTCAATTTCGCTTGCAGCGCTGCGACAGTGCAGCGTCTAAATTTTAATTCGCTGCTTGCACGATTTTTATCGCTGTCGCAATGGCAAACACTGATAAACTTCTGGAAATAATTAAACAATTTCCAATGCTCTATGACTTGAACAACAAGGACTACAAAAATGTTCGAAAAAAAGACAAAATCTGGGATGAGATAGAAGTGGAATTGAATGACACCGGTAAGTTACTCTTTACTGAGAAATTATTATAATACGTTTATTATTTATGAATGGCTTAGCTAAGCTGATCTTACATCAACAATATTAGGAGTTGAAGTAGTCAACAAATTTTTCTCGTGTAGAAAATGCCAGATTCGTTGCACGTCTTGGATTATTTTCGATGTTGGTAAAGGCTTGTGATAGATCTGGATCTTCGTCTAGAAGGTGTATATACTGTTCGTCACATTGCTTACTTCGCCAAAGCAAGATATAGAATTGCTTCTTCTTCATCTGAAGAGTACATGTTTCAATTTGATTTTCAAGCTATACTTTCACATCGTTTACTGCCAATCCACTGCGATCTTTTCGCTTCGATATGAAAGTCCCTCAGATGTTCGCAGCGAATTTCGCGAGAATTATATCGCCACGAATATCGCAGCGGATTAATCGCGTTGGTTTGGGGGATCCTTAAATGCTAGGATAGCGCGGCTGCTATGATGATCCCACAGAAATTTTGTCAATGCGATTTTTGAGTTGCCTAAGGTTAGTAGAACTGAGAAAAGCCTCATCTTGTAGATTATTCTACAATCTGTTCAGTTCTGGATATACGAAGATCGACACGGTTAGGATGGGAGGCCGAAGTCCGGCGGGTCTGTCTCGCAGGCACATCGTGCGGCGGCATCATAGAGGAATGCTCCGAGGAGCAGAGCCGGTTGGTGTAGCGGTAGGAGAGAGCTAGATCGCTGTCTGTTAGAGCAATGTCATCGATCAATAGGGCAGCCCTTCTCTGGATCGAGCATAAATAATGTAGTCAGAGTGGCAGCACCCCAAACGTTCTGAGCAATACGCGAGGCTAAGTCTTATCTAGGCCTTGTATAGAGTGAGGAAGCCATGCGGAGAAAAGTACTTGTCGCTCTGGACTCTTGCATGTAGAGTGCTGTCATCAGCAAAGCTGTGGACTGGGTTGATCGTACCGGAGAGGTCCTTAAATATATTAGAAAAACAGTCAAGCCTGATCACTGGGGAACACCCGCGTTGACGTTGTGGGATGAAGACGAGAACGCATCAAAATTACACGGATATCTTGTCGCCAGAGAGAAAGTTAGCTACCCATCTCCAAAGTATATTTGGGAGGCCATAGGATAGAGGGGCAGGGTCCAGCTTGCCACAGCTGATCGAACGCTTTCGCGATATCAAGGCATGGACATGAGCCTAACCATAAGACTGGATTGGATGAGTTTACTACACAATTGTGTGACGTAAGCTAGGCGGTCCCCTGTGGATTTATACACCTCTCCATATAACAGAAAGCAGAGCTATAGGCATGTAGTTGTAAGATCCTTTGTCGAGCGACAAGTCTTAGGTCTTGTGCCTAAATGTTACCTTCCTCATAGGGAGCCCTTTGAATCGACGGCATTGGGGGAGACGTCCAAGGTGGAGTTCTCAGCAAAGATCTTGGCAAACACTTCCGCCTTAGCATTTGAATCGGTTACAATCCTTCCATCCTGATACGTAAGTAGTGGAAGGTTACTCTGAGAGAAGTTCATTTTAATCTGCTAGGGCAGCGTCCAGAAAGACTGACTGCCATTGCTTTGCGACATTACCCTTTGCCTAATTTTTATATTTTAGGCTCTTTCACTATATGAGGGATGTATTCCTCCATAACAACGTCGATAGCTTCTGTTCACTGATCAACAGCCAAAAAATATCCTAAATAAAATCAACAAAATATTACTATTTTTAATGTGCTAAAACCGGAATGAAACTTATTTTTTCAATATTAGTTCAAGTTTTAGAGATACGGTAATTATATGTGTTGCTGCTGTGACAGTGTTAATATACTGTAATTCACAAGAATGCACGTGCTACATTTTTATATTCGGCAAGGAAAGATGATGTAATTGGCATGATTGTGTTACGTTATACATACGTGTACATTATATTGTTTTATATTAGCCATTTTTTCCTCAGTTGGCTGACAGCGTTCCTGCAAGATGTCTCGAAAGTGTGTAAACAATCCAGATCAGTTTTTTTACGTGTGTGGTGATGTGACTTTTGCGTCTCAGAGACGGTCTATTACTCCACTAATAACAAAGGCATTCAGCTTTATTTCGGTTGTAAACTAGGCGATCAAGACAAACAGTGGGCACCCCACATCTGCTGTAATACATGTGTTTCAAGCCTGAGGAGCTGGTTAAATGGCAAAAAACGGTCTATGCGCTTTGCTGTCCCAGTGCTTTGGAGAGAGCCTACAAATCATATTAATGATTGTTACTTTTGCATGGTACCTTGTGTTGGACAAGCCACAGGTATGTCCAAGAAAAAAAAATCGGTTATTAACTACCCAAACATACCATCTGCGATGAGACCTGTGTCTCACAGTGGCGAAAATCCTATTCCAAAACCCCCAGAATCCTACTCTTGCGAATCAGAAAACGAATCAGATCATGGCGATCGAGTGATTCGTCAGGAAGAAGGTATGCCATCAACGTCAAGAGATCCTGATTTTATACCGAGCACGTCATGCCACCAACCGCACAAAATAATAGTCAGAATTAAATGATCTTGTAAGAGATTTAGAACTTCCAAAATGTAAGGCAGAGTTACTTGGATCAAGACTGCAGCAGTGGAACTTATTCGAAGACGATGTTTCGGTATGCGTTTTTCGTAAACGCCACAAAGACTTAGAACCATTTTTCAATATGGAGAATAACTTGGTTTTCTGCAGTAACATTAACGGCTTACTGGCGCCTTTAAATATAAACTATAACCCAGAAGAATGGAGATTGTTTATAGACAGTTCTACATTGAGTTTAAAGGCAGTGTTATTGCATATTGGAAATATTTTACTATCTCTTCCTGTAGGGTATGCAGTTCACATGAAAGAATCATATGACAATAAGAAGTACCTATTGACATGCATAAAATACGATGAGCACCAATGGCATATTTGTGGCAATTTGAAAGCTGTTGCACTTTTACTTGGGCTGCAGCTAGGCTACACAAAGTTTTGCTGTTTTTTGTGTGAATGGGACAGTCGGGCAAAGGCACTTCATTACACCAGACAAAACTGGCCTGTTCGTCAATTCCTAGAGCCAGGTCAAAAAAATGTACAGCATATGCCATTAGTAGATTCGAAAAAAACTTTATTACCACCACTGCATATCAAGTTGGGCCTAATGAAAAACTTTGTCAAGGCATTAGATAGAGATGGGTCAGCTTTTCAATACCTGCGTCAGAAATTTCCAAGACTAAGTGAGGCAAAGGTTAAAGAAGGTATTTTTGTTGGGCCACAGATTCGAAATATTTTGAAAGATACACAGTTTGAAAACACTTTAACAGGTATTGAAAAAACTGCATGGAATGATTTCCGTCTGGTGGTCACTAATTTCTTGGGAAATAGAAAAGCTGACAACTATAAAACCCTTGTCAAAAATATGCTGTCATCGTATCAAAAGATGGGCTGTAATATGTCTCTTAAGATACATTTCCTACACTCACACCTGGACTTTTTTCCTGACAATTGCGGAGCTGTAAGTGATGAGCACGGCGAAAAGGTACCAGGGAAAGTGAAATCCTTCCATGCTTGCAGACTACTGTTGGACTCTTGGTAGAGATGCTCCGGAAACGATCCATAAAAGAATAGCAAAAAGACAGCGCATATAGTGATTCTTATAAGTATATGAATCTTGTTACTTTTTTTAATATATCCTTAAAAATAAAAAGTTTTTTTCTAAACCGCAACTAATTTTTTTATTTCATTGTCATTTTTGGATTCAGCGCCCCAAAATTAACAAAGAAGTGCACTTTTCCCACAAGATACAATTAAAAAACTAAAATTTGTTGTCCAGTGATCGATGAATAGACAGCCGACGCATCCACGCCAACTCCAAGGAAAGGTGGAGAAGAAGTCTCTGAGCCCCTCCCAGTCAGCATGTCCGTAATGTCAAATTTTGTGAGCTGGATGAGTTCCTTAAAATTGCCTGGTTTCTGGGTTACCAGACCTGACAGACTTACAAACTGACACTGTGATCCAAGAGCTAAGGTCCCACGGACCGCTCTGTCAACCAACGATGACTTGACTGGACGAGTTTCTGCTGCCATAGCGGGTTCTGACCGAATCCTAACCTCCATTACATCGTGGCTTCAGTTACCCGGAGAAAACGGGACAGCAGTGCTATCAGGAATATGATGCGTGGTGGATGCGGCCCCGCTCAGTAAGATATACTAAGTGACATATAAATCCGAACACCCAGTTTAAACGGTTTTATTTTAATTAAAGTTGGTGAATGTATTTATCTTACTGTAAATAACAAGTGAAAAAATTTTCAGCCTTATCAGTTGGACATTCCGGTTTTTATACTGCTTTTTTTTAATTCACTAACGCTCTAAAAATGAATATTTCAGCCGCAGTAAAGAATCAACGTTGGCGGATTTTGGTTCTTGACATCCTTTACGATCGGTTACGATGCCTAGAGTACGGAGACCTGTACGATTTCGTCAACTTAGTGAGTTTGATAGGGACCGTATAGTGGGACTTCGGGAAGCTGGACTTTCTTTTTGGGCAATCGCAGTTAGAGTGCAAAGAAGTGTAGACACTGTGGTTAGGTGTTGTCAGGCATGGCTTCGAGAAGGCCGTACGCAAAGAGCAAGGGGCACTGGACGCCGCCGTAGAACAACAGACCGTGAAGATCGCCGCCTAAGATGATTGGCCTTAAGGGACCGTTTCTCCACTACCAGGTCCATTGCAAATGAATGGTTTGCAGAACACGGAAGACCTATTGGCATGCGAAGTGTTTACCGACGAATGAGAAGTTTTGGCTTGTTTTCATACCGGCCACACTGGGTCCTCCCTTTAACTCGAGAACACCGACGTAATCGCCTTAAGTGATGCAGACAACGGTCACTCTGGGATCAGGAATGGAACAGTATTGTCTTTAGTGACGAGTCTCGATTTTGTTTAGGCATGCACGATGGTCGTGCCAGGGTTAGAAGGCGACGTGGTGAAAGGAGGAATCCACAGTTTTTTGTTGAAAACATGTTCATCACACTGTTGGAGTTATGGTTTGGGGTGCTATAGCTTATGGTTCCAGGTCACCTTTAATCTTCATCAGAGGTAACATGAACGCGCAGCGTTATATCCACGAAGTTCTAGAACCCCATCTTTTACCCTATCTTGACACCCTGGCAGATCCAACTTTCCAACAAGATAATGCCCGACCACATGTTGCAAGAGTCACAATAGACTTCTTTCAACATAATGATGTCACATTGTTACCATGGCCACCAAGATTTCCCGACTTATCCCCAATTGAGCACGTGTGGGATATGATGGTTAGGAGATTGCTCAATTTGCAACGTCCTCCTCAGACTCTAGAAGCACTTCGAGAGGAGTTGGTGGTTGCCTGGAATGAGATACCACAGGAGGACATTGACCACCTGATCAGAAGCATGCCTAGGCGCGTTGGAGAATGCGTAGCAGATCAGGGTGCATCCACACATTATTAAAGGTCAAAGGGCTTTAAAGCAGTGCAATCATTTTGAAATTTTTACCATTTACTTATTATGCTTCATTAAGTACTTATATAAAATTTTATTAAAATAAAACCATTTAAACTGGTTGTTCGGATTTATATGTCACTTAGTATATTATCATCTTCATCGTATGAGATGAGGATGAAAATCAGCTTGACTTGACAGGTAGCGAACGTCAGATTTTTACCTTCTTGCGCACAGTGTCTATTAAACTTATGATGCATGGCAATTTATCGTGTTCTTACTCTAGAAATATTTGTACTCGTAAACATAGGATGGAGAAATCTCATTAAAAACCAACTCATTTGTTTTGATGACACTGTTATATTACTCATAGCGCATCGGTTCGTTGACAGCTTAGAAAGCATACAATAGAAAATTGAAAATAAGATTCAAACACATTTTAGCTAATAAGGTAGCGCAACCGAACAAACATAGAGGCCATACCTGGATTAACGAAATGTTTGGCAGGAACTAATAGTAGAGTTATGCGATATAGTCTAATCGTATTGGACGAAAATACCCCTGGTATGCGATATAATTGTAAAGTCTGGTTTTATTGCTGCAAGTTGTTCATAAAATCGGTACACCAAGTTTTGTTGGAAAACTTTTTATTCTACAACAAAAGATGAGTGACGTGTTTTTTGGGATTCAATTGAAAGTGTTGGCAGAAACGAAAAAACTTTTCAAATAAGATTTTTAAAATGAGACCACGCGTAAAAAGATCCGACTAATAGCAAAGAAGTTAGAGGCAAACTGCAGGTTTTGGCACTTGTTGGTAATGCGACGATAGTTTCTCGCAGATATTTGAAATTTTCCATATTCGAAGATGATGACATATCCGCTTTATTTTAAAATGTGTATAATAACCTATGTTTTTCGAATATCGTAGCGAATCTATTCAATTACTTACAAATACGGAATATTCGAATTTGTTTAGAAGAAAAAACGTAACCCCTCGTTTTTCGCATAAAAACAACAATGATCTTTCAGAATGGTTTGTGATTTATGTCGGCAAGGTAAACTCGTGTATTTTGCTATAAAATGCCCTTTGACCGAACCCTGTATATTGCTCAGTAAACTAGTAATAGTGATGGCCGGAAGATAGGTGTTATGGGATAAACAATTAGAAGTTCTCAACGACTAAACTTCAGATTCTCACTATATGCAGATCTCCTGCAGGTGACTTCAATAGATTTATAAATAAGCGATGTGTTACATTAGACCAGCTTGACTATGAGAAGCATGTAGTGGTAACTGGAGATTTCAATGTTAAATTTTTTAGCAATGATGAGCGGGCAAACCAAGTTATTGATGTGTTTAGCTGTTATGGAATGCAACATATGATCAGGGACAGTACAAGAGGGTCGCATTGCTTGCCTAACATTTTCACGAACATCCAAGGCAGCTTTTTTCTCAAAACGAATATCTTTGATACTTACTTGTCGGATCACCTGGGGATCGAGTTTGGTTGTTTTCAATCTAGTAAAAAAAGCTTCAAAAGGCTTAGTTATCGGCCAATTACTGATACTGGTCTTTTTCTACTTTACAGCAGCTTGGAAAGTACTGACTGGCAGTTTGTAAATGATGCAAATCTAAACGTGGAGTTGAAGTTTGAGCTGTTGCTACGTGTTGTGACCGATGCGATGGGTGAATGTCTACCAGAAAAAACACGCGTTTTCCAAAATACAAGTTTAATGGTTTGACAGTGAGTTACGTGACATGCGCGATCACTTAACTTTCTTTATAGAATTGCACAACATCGATTCATCAACTGTAACTAAATCCGAAATAAATTGCCTGAAATTCAAGTACAGAGCTGAAATAGTAAAACGTAAGCAAGATGCACACGATTTGTGTATAAACTCATCGAATAATAAACAGCAAGCGATGTGGAGTATTATAAAAAACAATGCAGCTCCTGTCGATAAAAAAATTACCACAACACTAAACGGTTTGCACTCATAAGCTTGGACACCCACCTTAATCGTACCTAAACAAACCTACCTAGCCACTAGTCGATTCAGCCCTTTTCTTAGAAACCTCCAATGGAGGCGTATAGGGTCAATCTAGTTGACGCCATTTTTTATACGCACTTCGCATGTTATTCTGGGACACCCGTATAACGATGAAACCCTATGAGATACCTAGTACGCGTACACCGTACACCTGTCCCAATTAAATAAGTAGATACAGCTGTTTATAAATTTACGACGTACGTACTAGACTATTAGACAGTTATTCATTAGGATGCGGACACGAAACCACAATTTATATGCAGTTGTTCAGTCTACGTCTACGTGTGCGTAATGGGGGAAATCCAACAGACAGGTAACTGCGTTATGCGATATGTCAGAAATCTAAGTAAATGGTAACATGCTGAAGACAGCATATGGCGATCTAGGTCACTAAGTATGGTATGCCAAATTTTGGAACTTGTTGTTTCGGGAATCTCCAACTGTAAAGTATATTAAAAATGGTCAGCATTCAAAGAACTGTTGATTTGGTCTACTGTTTGACAAATGTCCGACCAGACCGCATCAAAAAAATGCAAAACCCAATTCCAGCAGCTGAAAGTTAAGACTTTCCTTTACCCAAAGGGCTATTACGTAAAAAAACCTAAAAAAACCGAAAAATGTCAACTTGCTGCCTAGTAAGCAAATAGTATCTTGCACGCTATGAGCGCTGTGAGCGTCATCAAAAGCGCCCATCTATGGAGGAATGACTCGACGATGCGATAAGCTCAATGAACATGCTGCAAGTTGGAAGTCAATTCTCCATTATGCTTTGTTGGTTGCAGAATGCCGGGGAAGTACATAGAGTATACGAGTCCCTTCCCACTTCAGTTGGCCCAACTATTGAAATCTTAGTTTTTTTCTTATCAAACACAAATAATAAAAATGTAGCAGGGTGTTATAGGTTTAAAATATTAACAATGAATATTTTGATAATATATAGTAGAAAACACCAACTTTATCACTCCCCAATCAAATTTGCAGCATAAAAATAACACATTTTGCAATTACAGCATATCGACTACTTTTATTTCAATGCAAAAAAAGTCTATAACGCATAGGTGGCTGTGAAAAATAAAAGCCATGACAATTGTTTTTATTAATCACAGCTATCAGAATACGTTTAAAATAGTTTTGGGTAGTTAAGGTTTTCAAAATGAGTAGAGGAAAGGTTATTAGTGAGAAAATTCGGTTACTGATAATTAAATTTTTTAATTCTCGGAAATCAAACTCAGAAATTGCAACTTTGTTAGACTTATCGCGGTACAGTATGATAAATATTGTTAGAAGATATAACGTAACTGGTTCAGTTAATATTAAGCCACGATATGTGAAAAAAATAATATCACAAATGCCGACCGATTTACAATTAAGTGCTCTATGGAGTGACGCTGTTGGAAGGAGAATTTCGAGGTCCACAATTCATAGAGAGGCCCACAAACTGGGATTTAGCACTTGCAATGTAAGTTTTCTTATAAAAAAAAGTGAAGCAAAAACCCTAAAGTTGCACAACTTGCTTTTAGGCCAAAGAAAAGCCACTATTAACTTCACTGCAAAAGAAAAATCGGCTTAGATCGGCTAAAGAACATAGACAATGGACACCTCAACAATGGTGTGCAATACAATGGACTGATGAGGCCCGACTCGAAGTTTGTGTTGGTGACAGTCGCAGTAGAGTTATTCGCAAAAAAGAGGAAGCATTCCATGTTGACTGTCTGAAGAGAAAAGTGAAACTTCCAGCATCCTTTATGGTCTGGGGCAGTATGTCATCAAAAGGAGTAGGAAACCTACATTTTATTGATGGAAATGTGGATACAAACAAACATTTGGCAATTTTAGAAGAATCGCTTTTACCAGTGATGGAAAAATGTTTGACATTCGGCCAAGATTTTGTGTGTCAGCAAGATGGTGCAGCGTGCCATACCTCAAAAAGGCTATAAAATGGATGGAAGAAAATAATGTACCACTTTTGAAATGGGTTTCTGTCACCTATTGAAACTTTGTGGCACGAGATGAAAAAGGTTCTACGACAACATCCTGCTCGTACAATCACCGAACTGAGACAAAAGCTTCAAGAAATATGGGATTGTTTTACACCAAATTTTTGCCAAAACTTGGTTAACACTATGCCCCAAAGAATTTCAGCCGTAATAAAAAATAAAGGTGATGTTACCCATTAATAAAAAACTACTTGCAAATATCAAATTAGAATCGTGGACAGCAGTGTACTGTGCAACGAATGTTAATGATGCTGCAAACACACTCATTGAACGCATAAAATATTTAATTGAATGTAGTACAAACAGAGTTAAAATTAAACATTTTGACAGAAGCAGGAATCCCTGGATAACTAAAGGTTTGATAAAGTCTCCCAACAAAAAAGAGGAACTATACAAAATAATGCATCGTCATGTGCAGATACCTCCCATAAATATAAAGAATATAAAAATATTTTTATCAATCTAGTTAGAGAAGCAAAACGCCAATTCTATCTAAAAAAATTACAAGATGGCAAATCTGATCCAAGAAAACTGTGGTCAGTTGTCGATCACTTAACTAACAAAGACGTTCAAGAAAAGCCAAATATTGATGAAATTAAGAATCGTGATGGAACAATATTAACAGATAAACGACAAATATCCGATGCATTCTTAAATTTTTTCATTAATGTTGGAGAAAATTTAGCATCCAGTATTAAAAAAATGGTTTCGAACGAAAAGTTCACAAAAACCCAACTTCCCAATTCATTCTTTTTAGAAAGCGTTAGTCCGATTGAAGTACAAGAAGCTGTCCTATCACTTAAAACCAAAAAAAGTCCTGGTGTAGATGGTATCAAAGCCGACCATTTAAAAATAATAGCCTACGACTTAGCCGAACCACTTTCTTACGTCATTAATTGGTGTTTCCAATCTGGAATTTGTCCTGATGCATTTAAAACAACTGTTATTACTCCTGTTTATAAAAGCGGTGACAGAATGGAAACATCAAATTATAGACCCATATCAGTACTATCGAATATAGCCAAAATTTTCGAAAAATTACTACAAAAAAGGATATTACAATTTTTGGACAAAAACAAAATTATATGTTCTCACCAATATGGATTTAGAAAAGGAAAATCTACTACAGATGCAATTTTGGCTGCAATGGATGAAATTAACTCTAATGTCAACAAAAAGATACCTACTATTGGTATCTTTGTTGATCTAAAAACTGCCTTTGATACGGTTAACCATGTCGAGCTTCTGAAAGTTATGGAAAGATTGGGATTTAGGGGAGCGTCACAAATCCTTTTAAAAAATTACCTTTCAAGTCGGGCACAGACTGTCAAAATCACTAACACTTACAGTAAAAAAATGTACATCAAGTGTGGTGTGCCTCAAGGAACAGTACTAGGCCCACTATTATTTAGTCTCTACTTAAATGACTTATTCAAAATTAACAGTTCTGGAAAGATTATATGTTTTGCAGATGACACCCTCGTATTATATAAAGCTGATGACTGGAGCACACTGAAGCAAATAGCTGAAAAGGATTTTATAAGGATCATTGACTGGTTTGATACCTACTAAAATTTTAACAGTTAACTTCAAAAAAACAAAATTTATTGCATTTACATCCTATTCAAAATTTTTACCTACCTTCGAACAAATTTCCGTTAATTATCATGGCCAAAAGACCAAAATCGATAGAGTTAACACTTTGAAATATCTTGGAATATTTATAGACTCACATCTAAGGTGGGATAACCATATTAAATATGTTATCAAAAAAATTAGAAATGTTGCCTATAAAGTCAAAATGCTTGCTAACATTCTTACAGAAAGTTATCTGCGAATCCTATACCATGCTTTAGTTGAAACCCATATAATATACGGCATCACAGCCTGGGGTGCCGCCTGGAAGACATATATTTCTGACCTGAATTTAGCACAAAAAACTGTTTTGAAAGCCATTTTCCATAAGCCAAGATTATATCCAACGAACAACTTATATCAAGAAACAGGGATACTTGATACAAGACAACTTTATTTCTTACATGCCACCACCTTATACCATAAGTATTGTAATAAAAAGAAAAAATCCTATAAACACGAGCATAACACACGATTTCGAATAGGCTCATCTAATATCCAAAGACCACACAAAACATTATTCAAAAAATCATTTAAATTCTTAGCAGCTAAATTATATAATACGAATAAAACGAAATACAGATACTTAATTTTGGAAAAAAATTTAGAAGAAAATTGAAAGACTGGGTTAGTAATGTGCAGCGAATGACTATACATAATTATATAGAAAACTAAAACTACAAAATTCCAATTACCTTAATACCTTTTAGATTTAACAATAATTGTTATACGCATATATGATTGATTGTTAGTTATTAAGATATAAACCACACACAGGCGCTGCCTTCTGTGGTTTTTTCATATTTATTTGCCCATTTTTTGTATTTTGGCGAATAAATATTATTATTATTATTATATTATTATTGGTAATCTTTCAATATTGCTTTGTTAACTTCACGCATTTATTCGCACTTTGTTTATTTGTTCAGATGTTATATTAGTTATAGGTCTAAGTGATTTCAAATATCTATGTTTTACGACTAGTGTGTATCTAAAATGTTTTTGAGAAAATAAATTGTTTTAGAAGTAAATAGTTTCGTCATGTTTAGTTTATAAAGGCATATTTTGGTACAAATCTTGAAGTGGGCCAATTGAAGTGGGAAGGGGCTCGTACTCTGAGAACATGTGTGGTTGAGTAGCAGAGTAGAAAGATCACATGATGATTGTGCATTGGTCTGCATCTGTATAAAATCAGTATTTGCTATGTGAGAAAATTATTACTGCTGCCCATAAAATAATAATAATAACAATAAATGTCTTTATTAGCGACACAACAATAGGGCGAAGTTTAGACAGTTGGCTACTCTTACACCCTATTGTGTGCTTTAATATGTATATACAATTCAAAGTCACATACATGCAACCTAAGCATAAATACATCGATCTGGCTTTCAACTATGTGACCTAATAATAAAGGGAAAAACACAATCAATTGAGAAATCCGCGCTATATTGGTTTACCAAAAAGGAAACAGTCAAGAACCAATACTGAATGGATGACAACACAAAAAAAAACATAAAAATAATAACAACTAATTATATACATCTAACAGCTGATTTTTAACCAGCTTCCTGAATG